TCTGAACTATTTTACGATACTGTGCAACTAGAGGGGGTCGTGCCTACCATTGAAGCATTTTCCGGCTCGGATGGAGTTCCAAATGCTGATGGTACTCGTCTTGGGTTTTCCGGTGGAAATGTCACAGTCAACACAAGAGTTGTATCCGGATCGCACCCCAGCGTGCCTATTCCTCAAGGCTTCGACAGGAACTATTCCATGTCGCAACAAGGGTTGACAGCCAATGTCAGCTGCCGGGCCATTGACTCAAGTCAAACTCACTACCTTTGGGGCACGAACAACTCTTACCTCATCTATGCCAACGCAGCTGCTTCGAACAATTCCATCACCGGTCTTCGCTTGTGGAATATCAGTGCCAACTGTGGTACCGGTAAATTTGGATCTTGGATATCTTTTCTCAAGTTCACTGACAGCTTCTAGATACGCTGACAACGTACGAATATGTGACCATGGTAGATGCAAATGGAAATACGAGCTCATCAGGAAGTGGCTTTCTTCCATCTGTTGTGTGCCAAGGACCCACGAATATGAACCAAACTTATACAAATTTCAGTGAGTCTTTGAAACATGCACGTTTGGAGTTATTGACCGAATCCATTCCTGTAGCCATTTTTACACAAGGGTTTTACAAGTATAATTTCCTCAAAGCAAGCGTATGCGAAGTGGTTCCCCTACTGACCACTGTCCGCGTCGATTATTCCGATGAACAAATTTCACCCGGGGTCACCTCATCCACTCCTTTCCAGCCAGAGAATGCCGAGCTACTGTCATTTATCGCTTCAGTTGCCAGGTTTCAGTCGATCAACTCGCAGGGGCTTACGAGCAGCACAATTGGGGATACCTTGTACTCCATCTATTCCTCGACCACTATCGGATCCATCAATAACAATCTCAATGACACACAGGTTTACCTTGAGCTCGTCAGTTTCATGTCATACAATCTTTATCCACTTCTTATGACTCTCTCAGGAGGATTACTGGCGTGGTGTTGTTGAATTTTCCGCCACAGTGAGGTTCCCGGTCCGTTCAATATAGTCCAAATTGACCTAGCATTATTTCACAGTTCCTTCGCTCCGGGTTTATGGCCACAGGTAGTTTCCCCAATAATGACATCCCGAACAACCTCTCTTCCCAAGTCACTGGGACTATGTTCATATCAACGATCGGCTGGACTCGCTGGGCTAAGAAGTCGCCGACATATCTGCTCGCTACACTCCCGCTCACCATTGTCACCATTCTCACTTTAACCTGCGCGTTGTACAGTATTCTGGAGGCTTTGAAAGAGCAACATGGATGGGGTGGTCACCACAGGACCCACCACTTCGACGTGTCAAACACTCTTCATCTCATTATGGCATGCGCTGCTGAGAGTCTCGCACTTAAAGATTTTGGCGAGGAGGGAATTATCAACAACGAGGATGTGAAGGTGCAGCTGGAGGAGCATGGTGAGAGGAAGAAGTTTGTGATACCTAATTAACTGTATGTGGTAGTGTCGAAGGAGAAGCTCATGTGATTTTAGGCACCATCACGCTATGGTAGTTGTTACCTGAGACTGGGTTAGAAAAGTTCTACGGAAAGATGCAATACATATCCCGAGACATTTATGAATGTAATAATTTCGAATGTCTATCTATCTATTATATTAAAGTGCGGCATACGACATGTTTTTCTGATAGAGGACAACTTTGGAGACACCTACAGTAAAGACATTCATCGCAAATCTCCCTTGCTCGTTTCCACTTCCCATATTCAAAGATTGATAGCAAACCTGTCAGAAAAAGTTCTGAATACGAATTCAGGTTTCTGCAGCTGCATCTTGGCAATCAAGGACTGCGGAAGATCTGAAATGCTTGAGATGGTTCCGGACCTCGCGTCACGTGTTCGCATGGTTTGAATCCATGGGGCTGTGGTATCTTACGTAAAGAAGATAGAGATATGAGCGACAGCTTCTGTATCCACTACCTCAGAGGAGCGCACGTCCAAAAGTTGTAGGGATGTATGCTGGAGTGACTCCGCTGTAAAGCCGACGTCAATATTCACAGCGTCTATCAACATTCTGAGCTCATCCAAATGGGGACATTGACGGAGCGCTGCGAGTAGTCTACACAGTGGCTTGAGGATAATTTTTGTCTTCTAACTCCAGAAAGCGGATGTATGGCCAACATGACATGGCTTCCAAAAAATGGTCGTTGTCAAGGCGGGTGCAGCAACCAGGAAATTCAAGTTCTAAGGTTCGGAGCTGTGAACAACAACGGAATTGTGTGATTGCTGTCCAAGAGCTGTACGGATCCTGAACTTCTGAACTGTAGGACTTTATCCTAAGGCGTTCAAGGGTCTGGCATGCTTTACACTGGGACAGGGCATGAAGAAGCCGCTCAGCGTCTGCACAAGGCAATCGATGGAAAAAAGATCGAATTCTTTCAGCGAAGGAAATCCTGAGTGTTGCACGAGTGTCGTGGTGTATGCAGCCGTGTCCGCTAGGAAATAAAGAGTTGGGAGGTCGAGGAAGGGTCCAAAAGTGATATTATTGAGGTCCGATGGGGAAGGGACTATGTTATTCATACGAATCGTGACTGTGAGAAGGGTAGGGAAATTGGAGAGGCGCTCCCATGCTGCCCGGTCGAGGGGTGGGCAAGACAGAGTTACAAGCCGCTTGCACAAACGGACACTGTCAGATAGTATGGATAGCTTATCTGCTATGGTGCCATTGGTGTGCCTCACGGATAAATGTTCGAGAGCAGCCGAGTCACAATCAATTTTAGATTCAGATCAATGACCCATAGGGCACAGAGACGCAGCGTAGGAGACAGAGAGATGCAGGTATCTAGTCGGACATGGAAGTGAAGCCGTGAATAACGTCTACGGTCCCGGGAACATGCATGTCTCTTTGGGAGGACTAAGAGAAGGCGAAAATCCCGGTCAGTTGCTAGTTCAATATGCATTGATCGTACACGGGTAGCGTGACGCAAGAATTGACGAGCTTCATTTGCCGATAATGGTTCGATGTCACCAAAGTAAGGAGGGTTATACCAGGTGCGCTGTGTTTAGGTGCTCGGTGAGACGCTACTAATGAACGAAAGGGGATGAACAGAGTTTAATATTGTGCACTCACCCCTCCACAGTGATTATGTATATTATTGGACGCAGCCTTGTTACACAGCCTAGCAGTGGATTTAATCCATCGATTTCAGCCCAAAGCTGATTCATTGCAGGTTCGTAGAATGTTTTACACGTCCTTGCAAGGAATGTCCGCACCAATGACACCTCGTGATACGCCATCATGAATCATGATTGGGTCTTGCCAGTCGATATCATTGACATGCTTGAATATCTCTAGGAGGATTTCGCAAACGAGTAGAGCCCGATGCATCGATTGGGTGTCGATGGAGCACGGAGCACTGCAGTGCAGTACACAGCACGGACACGAACAAGCGTCCAGTGAAAACCCTGACTCCGAACGTCAGCCATGAAATTACAATCTCAGGTTGACATGGAATCTGAATTCTGGATGGGCCACTTGCGCCGCGTCGAATTCTTAATAGTCAAAGGGTGTGATCTACTTGTGGCCTGAAATCTGGAGAACTTCTATCCAACTTGTGCTTTGCAAACGATTCTGAAACGAAGGATCAATTCTTTTTATTCATGAGAATTAACGGACTGCATGTGGTTTAGATTCATGCCATACAAATCTGACCATGGTTTAAACCGCGACGTAGCGTGATTAAGTTGCATCCTAGATTTCTAGAATATAGCGACGGGGAAGCTGAGAGACGCCCGATGGAAGTTGAACGTTTGATTGATAAGAACATAATGGCGCATCAGTAAACCGGTGAAACTCAGATATTCCCAGGTATGGTACCTGTTTCCTCTACATGACGTTATAAAACAATATAAAGCAATCTAAAGTGATGTAAAGCAATATATAGGTCCGAATCGAGCATGAATTGGGGTGATTACATTGCTTTGGATTGCTATATATTACTTTGTATCGTAATATACAGGAAAGAAGCATTGGGCTTACAAAATACTACAAAATCTGGGAATATCTGAGTCTCACCAGTTTACTGATGCCTCACTCATGGCTCGGTGACATTGACTCAGACACCCGATCGAGTCCTTAAGAGAATAGACGCGCCGCCACCCTTCTCCTCCATTAATCTAGAGTATCTGCTAGTGAAGTCTATCACATACGCAGCCATATAGGCTGTTACCAGCTTCTTCACTCGAAATATACACGTTTCATATGCGATGTCGTCCGGAAACTTCCTCCCAGATTTGTCTCCTCCTGACGTGCAAAAAGCAGCTCAAGTACGTACTTCAAGCTTGAACTTCTTTAGGGAGTTTTCTTATAACAACACTTCCACAGTTGATACAACAAGCATATTCGAGCGCACATGCCCAGGTGGACCAACGGCGGATCCAGCAAGAGCTGGTCGAGATTCAGAGACGACCTGAGGCATGGGGGTTGATTGTACCTTTCATCGAACATCCAGACCCAAATGTACAATTCTTTGGCACACATACCGCGCAGGTTAAGATCATGCGTGATTGGTAAGTGGTCTATCTTTTCCTCCTTACGATGGTGCTGACCAGCTGCTATTACTGCAGGGATTCATTTCCTGAAGAAAACGCCGAACACCTACGAGACTTGCTGCTCAAGCTCACCTCGCACTCGATATTGACTGGAAAGGGCAAAGTAGTACACCGCAAACTGTTTGTTGCAGTAAGTGCATGTTCTAGATTGAAGTCCGTCTAGTGATCGTTTGCAGATCACATCACTTGCACTCCGCATTGCGCATTGGGCCGGGTTCACTCTCAAGGTGGCCGGACTGCATGGTGTTGGCAGTCAATACTCTCTTTTCCTCTGGCGTGCCTCCAGAACAACTCCTTGCCTTCCTTACCATAGTCGCTGAAGAGGTCGAAACGGCCGACCTTCTAGGGTCCAGTAAGTGGGTGCAACGATCTGAATCATTCTGCATCATCACCAATTTCGTTCCAGAATGCAAATGCATCAGTTTCTTCTGGACGCTTCTCCGATGGTCGTTCAAGCTGTAATAACATCTATCATTCGACCGACTCTCGTATCGCCTGAACTACAGTCCGCACTCAAATGCCTTCAAGCATGGATATACACATTATTGGCCAAGTAACGTTCTTTTATACACTCTGCTCAAGTTTCAACTTAACGCGCTACACAAGGGACATCACACCATTATTCCACTGTTGATCACGACAATGATGCCCTCACCAGACTCCGGATTTGACGAGTCCACCTTCTCGGCGGCTTCTGATGTTTTACAGGAGATCATGACGAGGTCTTCGTTGGCTGGAGGTGCGGGTACAGGCACGTTGACAGAGCCTCTTCTTATTTGGCTTGATGGTTATGGAGATCGTGGTGAGCCTCGGTGGTTGCACATATTCACTCGATATGATTGCTCACTTGTTATCCGATACCCAGCCGGTTCAATCGATGGTGCATCTCATTCACTTTGTAAACTACTGGTTGCCCTGGGAGACCACTCCATCATGTATTTCGCCTCCAACTTAAAACCTATACCTGTAACACCCTGCCGGCGCGTCTACTTTGTGCAGAAGTTCTTGCACCTCCTTTTGAAATATACCGAACTACAGGGTTATTACGGTGTCGCGCGTGCATCATGTACGTACAAGTTATGTGTAAGGATTGAAGTTTGCTGTGCGTGAATGGATCTAGGGCCTGGTCGTCGTCGAAATACATGCGAGGAATTTGTCCCCCGAAAGACAACGAATGGTCACCGGCTCGTACGACAGGATGCTCTGTCTGTGGGACTTGAAGACAGGCGTTATGTTGCTCAAACGGATGTTCTGCTAAAGACCTGTCGGTACTTGGTTCATTGGAGCGATTCGGATCTGTTAGGCATTTTGTGAGGAGAGCGAGATGACTCTTGGCATTTGGTACCTCTTTCAGGAGTCGTTGTACACCCTCACCTTTTGTCGATGCCCATCAATCTGCTATTCGTGAAGTACGCAACGTCAGGGCTCAGCAAAATACCATGTCATTGATTAAAGAGGAGAGCGCCAAGTGTAATATCAAACCAGGTGTGTTTTTCGTGGCCTTTAACTTCATCACTGTCGGACTAATATACTCTCAGCTGACAATGATGTCCTTCGTAGATGGAGGAAAAAATTGGGCGTGACATAGCTGAGCTGATGCGGGAAATTGCTGGGCTGAAGCACAATGTCGAAGAGCTCGCTGGGCTGAAGCCCGCGGTCAAAGAGCGAGGCGGGAAAATGCTGGGCTGAAGCATGACATCAAAGAGCTGAGTACTCCCAGTCAAAATCTGCCAGTGGAAAATAGTAACGACAAGATTCAGCAATATCCTCGGAGAAATTTCAGCCGCTTTGTAGATTCAAATCTGATAGTTTCGTCTGTTTGATCACTCAGCAAATGGATGAAACTACTAGAACTTTTTTGGGTGTTTCTAAAACTTGAACCCGCTCGTCGAGTTTACACGAGTGAGTAAAGCTGTTGACGTGGAAGCGTCACTTGACAAGAAAGTTTTGCGCTAGACATCATATGCACAGTTTGTGAAGCCCAAAATGTACTGATTGAAACACTTCGATTCGCATTCACATTTAGATATGATCACCATCTCATCCCCCACAAAGACACCCATGAGCTACCATACCTTTCTTCACGGCTCTCGAGGCGCGATGCAAAGTAGGGGTACGACGGACAACTTCATTGTGATATTGCATTGCTTCGTACTCAGTACTCAGCCGCCGACCGCGACGAAGGCACAAACTGAACAGTCTTGTGTACGCCTTCCTCGTACTCCATTAAATTAAGTTGGTATCTTATCATTCGCTTCGGATCTCTCATCTATATCAGGGAAATGGCAAGTTTCCCGATGACTGACTTCACGGTACCCACGATAGACGAAGCTAGATCACCAGACCAGACTGTACCCTTTTCAGGTCCTGGAATATTGATGGTGCCATTCAAGTGATGCGAGAGGAAGAATCCCTGGAAAGCACCCCTTTTGTTGATGCGCGAAATTGGAACCGAGCTGCATCATATACATAAGACCCTCTTTACGATTTCTTCTGGTGTCAGCTACGTTTTTGGCTTTTCTGGTGCTGTCCCGCCCAATCTATTGCACGTCTCGGACGCAACAGCTCTTCCAACATCTTGCACCATTCATGAAGTTGGATGATGTGATATTCACTGGCATATTCTTTGACGATACAGCACAGTTCTTAGGTATTCCGTTTGCTCGACCCCCGTGAGTATGACCACGCAATCAACACTTAAGCAATGGACTGAATGCATGCAGCATCGGGAGCCTTCACTTTCAGGCCCCTCAACTATTGGCTCCTTATGAAAGTGAACACAGTGCAGTTGCCTATGGTCCGGCCTGCCCCCAACAGGGGTCATCAACTAAGAGAGGAATTATTCCGACAAGTGAAGATTGTGAGCACTTATCTAATGTTCTGCTTTTCATCCCATTCATGCAAGCCGTTCTCTCCTAGGTCTTACGTTAAATGTCTTCACTCCTGCTGCCATGCTCCCTAGGTTGAAACTGCCCATGGCCGTCATGATCCGAGTCCTTTCGATTTGGTGTTCCTGAAGCTCAGCTTTAAGTCAATGGTGTAAGGATTCCATATTCTCTACACCCCGACCAAGCTCTAAAATGAACACCAACGAACCACGCGGTCGCAATCGTCCACGTGACTCATTGATGCGAAGAGCGCAACTCTTCGCATCCGAGTTACGTGGATACATTCCTTCATCTCCCTTGTCCATTTTCTTTCGTTACCTTATCTTGTGCTCAGACCTCACCATCTCCTTGTCTCACCAAAGTATTTTCACCTCGCCTTACGCTTCATGTTCTCGTTCCGGCCTAGTCAAGTATTCGAAAACGTATATATACTGCTCAAGTATTCTCCTACCTACAGCGAATCTTAGAGTCAGATTCCCGCTCCAAGAACGACCGAAAAATCCTTCAGAAAGTCTCTGTCACGGCCAATTCCCAACTCGTCTCAAAACTATCCAACTCGTCTCTCTTCAGAATCGTTTTAATTGCAATTCCCTACCGAACTCACACTTAGCCTTACAATGGTAGATATCCTTTTTCTCATACGTTGAGGATATGCACTCTGTGCATCCCAGGGCCTACAGTTGGAACGCTATTATTCACAGTTTCAATAAACAATAAGTTTATCGATCGCCACATCATGCTCTGGAGTCTAAATGAAGGGACTGAGAGATGATGCTGTCGTGGAACAAAGGAGAAGTCGACTTGCAAGATGTCTGCATCAGGTTCAAGCAGAAATTTGCGACGCTTGATGTCACTTATGTTGAGGTCTTCAGTTGGACCTTATCGCCGTTGCCATTTCAGCGTGTCTTGTAAACAAACGAGAGCATCTAAAGAGGGCCGTAAGAAATACTTGCCTCTTTAATCAGTCTAATGACTGAATCCTACGTGAGAGCTTGCCGTGTCATTTACCGCTAAGTGTTAAGATCACGGTGTGCGATTTAAAACACGAACAAATTCTCGATCTTTCAAACGGCATTGAGTCATGCGGGCACAAGGGGTTGAGGAGCTGTCGGCAGTCAGCGCATCAATTTGCAGTCGCGTCACGCTGAAATATCCTGTGACTGCCTTCATAAGCCGCACGTGGAAGCACAGTCAAGTCAACCTTACAAGATAGCAGAAGATGAATTGCAGGGAAACATACCAACTGTTAGTACCATCCGAAATAATACTGCCAACCCACTCTACATTTTCTTCCTCTGTTGTCCCTTCGATGTACCATGCTATGATAGCAGAAGCAGCAGGTAAGTATAACCCTCCCAATCCGCCTGGCGTGCCTATATTCCCAGCTACGGGTACTGACACATCTAATCAAGAAGAAAAACACAAAGAGGCCTGTTGTCGAGCTGATGGCAACGGGTGTTGGCTGAGCGGTACGAACTGGATGTATGCTAACCGTTCGTACGTGGGCGTTGGTGTGGGCCGCTCGTGATAAAATCCTGCGGGTGGATGCTGAGAGGGTGATGTAGTGAGAGCTTGTACCCTCCCGTGGGTGCGGAGGCTTATGTGGACTGTTGGTGCCGTGGGTAGACTTGGTCGTTAGAGGAGCTGAGGTACAATTTGTTTGTGCATCAAGAGGCTGGAGGTAATGCGAGGGACTTGGGATAGGAGGGTCTGTTGAATATCACAACAGTGAGATGACTGAGACAAACATCAAACTGGACCTTTCCAGTAAAACGGAGCCAGTGATACTAATGTAGACGCCTGTTCTGGTCAATGAAGTATTCTGAGAATGCCAGATCGACTTACTGAATCCGATGATATGGAGACAGGGAACGACAGATCGGAGTTGCACAGTCTCATAATGAAGACTGTTCAAGAAATTCGAGGTAATGGCAAATTGCCTCCAGAAACGGATCGGCACCGCGGTCTCCCGTCTCATTCCTCCCCGCCATTATCACCGTCACGAACTTTCCGACCATCAAATGACGAGGATAGAGGGTCGAACCATAGAAGTCAAGCACATCCATGAATATGCGTACCGGTCACACGCCCTTAATGGTGCATGGCTAAGCACTTTATGATGATCCTAGACCTCCCGAATAAGCCAGCTATCTTCGTCGATCCATGTTTCTGGCAAATATCCAGGAAATAAGCAAAGATAGGCTCGAGAAGTGTAACCGGAAAAGGGTAAGGACAACTGCAAAGGCGCTCAATCTCACCCTACTCCGTAGAAAATGTGGGTGGCATTCTACCAGAAGACGGAGTGTTTGTAACATTCTTGAAGTACGCGTGATGTTGATTCGCAGTCGGAATGTTTGACGCTAGTAGGACTAAACCAAATAAGATAGTGATCAGAATGGAGGAGACAGGGGCTATATTGACGGACGATTCAATGTTGGTAAGTCGCGGTAAGACAAAAATATGCAGGTGCTCATTGTTGGTGAAGATAGAGAAAGCATTGAGTAAAATAGTCGCGAGTAACAACCATCGCAAGTTGTGGAGGACAAGATTATTGATGTTTCGCCGCAAACCAGGGAAGCATTCCAGAATACCATACTGCCGTCATCTAGATCATCAAAAGTGTGTGCATCACTTAGAATCCAAGAGGGAGCTCGTCATCAAACGCACCGAAAATGCCAACGCAGGGTGCAACCAATAACTCATAATTCGCCTGGCCCCAATTGCTCCTACATACGTTTCTCACATCCTAAATGTCGGTGTCGGCCTTTGCCGGACATTATATCAACAGAGTACGCATTCTCACCCACTAACGAAAGAACTAGCATAGAAAGCTGGGAGTACGCCTCAAATAGTGCTATGTCTTCAAAGGGTAGTGAGCGTTTTGTTTAGAAAAAGGTGCATGCCCTTACCTCATCCTTGATCAATCTTCTGAGTGTATCGATGATCTCAATGATTGCAATCGACCAAGAAAATATGGCTAGGGCCATTGCTGAAGACCAAGCAGTTGAGGTTGACTTCGATGTGTTCGATATTAGGAGGGGCGGCTGGTGGTGAGAAGATACTAGAAATGACAACTATATTAGCTATTACTGGTAACGGATATACTCAC